CTTACTGTTAACATTTCTTAATGAAGTATTCAAATGTAGACCATCAGTTGGGTTACAATCAGTTGGATTGCAATCATCATTTGGAGGCAGTTCGAAATATGTATTTTGATTAGATGGATATTCTTCATTTATACAAGTAGAATTATTTGATTGTACACAAGAAATAGTATTGTCAATCATACAGTTTAATAAGTCTTGTGCACTTTCACTCAACTCTTGTGCACCATTTGGTTCCTATAATACATACAATTCCTATAATTACTGTAGTTTAATAAGCATGTTTTAATTTCAATATGATTTTTATTACCTGAACTCCTGCCTCATCAATTTGGGATTCTCCGTAAACAGCAGTTATACCAATTAAATTTAAAACTCTCTCTTCAACTTCAGTTAATTTTTGATTAAGTGAAGGCCCACCTCCTGTTTGAAATGATGATTTTTTTATTTGTGAGGCTTTACTTTTAATGTTTGCCTTCCAGTCACTCCAAGTCTATGCAAATAATGTTTATATTTAATAATATGTATTGCATTTGACATTTAATCATAATACTAATTCTAATTTGGTTATAAGGTTTATAGCAGCAGAAATTGTGGCAAAATTAAGTTTGTCATTTTATTCTTAATGAATGAACTAAAAAATACATTAATTACATGAAATTATATAGAAATATACAAAGAAACTTAGACATACTTTGTATAATTATAAAATGTTAGCAGAATGTAATAATAGAAATCTTTATTTTGTAGATTTTATCTAAGTTTAATGTTGGCTTTAATTCATTAGTAAAAAAAAAAATTCATTCTATATATGTAACTTACAGTAAACTATACACTATACATAAATGATTATCTATCACATAAATTTTAATTTTTAAAAACAATATTCACTTAACGGATGGGCTGACAAAATAGACCCAGTAAATTATTTAAATTACTAAACATGCAAAATATATAAATATAGTTATGACTATCACTTACTTTTTGCCATTTTTCCAGATCTTTTTGTGAGCTAACTCCATCGGAATTTAGACGATTGGCTATTTCTTGCCACAATTTCTGGCGATCCTTTACAGTAAATGAAGAATCTAACTTCCCTGACATTAATTTAGGGTGTTCTTTGATAAAATTAAGAAGCATTTCAAACTGCCGACTTGTGGTTCGCTGGCTTCGTTGTGCTTTTTTAGACATTTTAAAACAAAAGTAAAAACTATTTCACTAACGCTGCTACACAATAATGCTATGAGCGAGCACGTGCTTCGCTTAGAAAATGGCAGGTTGCAGTCACGTGACAAAAATACAATGTTAACTAAACTTTGGTTAAAGCATAATAGCTATTTGATAGCATGGAACCCAGATGCATCTCGACCAACTACCCATAGTGAAACCCACTTAATGTGGAGCACAGAATAGCGATTTGTCTAAGGTTCATTAACTGCCTTTCGCTAAAGGGACTTATTGAATGTCCTGTGTATCGCTCTTGTTGAGTTATCAGAAGAGCTCAGAATAGGTTCCCTTGTCGACTATAATACCTAATCCAGGGATGGCCAACAGATTTTGCCCGCCCCCAGGCAACATTGGAAAGAACTTTTTTCACGGGCCAAACCAGAGGCTGCACTAGGAAGATTTTGATGTGAGGGTCTGAATCCAGACTTTCCGTGTGTTTACATCATTTGTTCACAATGTCACATCGTAACTATAAACTTGATACATAACTGTCAACTTTCACATCTGGGAAAAAACACCTGTTAAGTTCTCAGGCCTGACAACGACGCTTTCTCATCACCTCTTGATCTAATATTTCGATTTCAACAGTACAACATATAGAACAGAACAACAAAGTACAGGAGTCGTCACCAGTTCCTCGATCGAACCACTGAAATTATTTTTCCCTGTGTTACATATGGCCTGTGCTCTTTTTTTGGATATATCCCCACCTTTGGATACCTCCTTGCCTAATATCTAATTAACTAAGAACTGTTGTCCAGAACTGTCTTCTTTTGTGTCTGACTGACTTGCAGCAGATCAAGATTTCATACAAGGTATTTATCGCCACGTGCAACTTCTGTAAACTCTCTTCTCTCTCTCGGGAATTGCAAAAACATTAATATCCAATATATATATATATCTAATATCTATCAATCGTAGAAATGTATCTAAAAGCTAGCATATTTAAAATCAAAATGTTGTACGGCCTATAATTACCCATTAAATAGTTATGTTAACCTGTCTCTGAGTAAGTCACTTCCGGTGCGCTGTCTCTCCCTCCATCCAGAATCTGTTCGCTCACACATGCGATCGTTCGCGCGAGAACGTAATGGTTACGGACTGTATCTGTCCGTAAAGACACAGTGGTGTCAGTCCGGATGAACCTTGTCATTGCAATCTTCACCGACGCGATGTCGCCCCTTCGGTCCTGTTTTACCAAAGTATAGGGTTTGTCACATTGAAGTGGTGTGAGATCACATTGTGGTGTCACCCCATAGAGACTAAATTGTACATAGAGATTACAGATACATTTTTCACGTTATCATGCTTTATCAACATTCTACACTGTACTTAAGAGATTTGTAATGGAGTAACCCTCCATTACAAATCTCTCAAGTACAGTGTAGCTCTAAATGCACAGTGAGTTGTTGACTTTCTTTTTTTTTTTATTTTTTAGGCATCAGAATTTTTCATTGAGCTATTCAGACTTGAGTAGCTAATATTGAAAGATTAATCACAGGCCGCATAAATTCATTAGATGGGCCGTATGTTGGCCATGCCTGACCTAATCCATTCCTCCCTTTTTCATTTGCTCCTCTAGAGAACAGTCTATAGCCATCCCAAAGCTCCCTTGCTTTACCTCCTTTCTATCTAATTTCCTGCAGGTGTAAGATCCTCAGTCTTCTTCATTACATCAAGTCCACTCTCTACTCTTTCCAGTCATTTCCCATTCAAACATTAAACACACTCCTCTTTTCCTTTCATTGGACTAATTTCTTTAGCCAAACCTGTCATTGGTTCAGTAGCCCAAGTTCGTTTCTTGAAGTTTCCTGATGACATGACTATGTGTTGCTTGCAGGATATTTCCAAACTCTTGTATATTCTCTTTCCATTATTCCATTTGGTTTTGGGATATAAGTTTTACAGTCAGGTGTTCTTCCTGACACAAATTCTCATCCTTTACCAGACTTGGAACCAGTGCCTAATGGACTGGCTTGCTACCTTAGTGGTTGGTATTTTTAAAATTCCACCTATAATAGTTATTACACAAAATCCACTGATTATTTGATGAAATTTCTCATCTTACCCTTGAACATTCTGCCAAAAGTTGAGAGTAAACATTTAAGTTTTTCTTATTTTGATGATGATAAAAAATATTTTGATTATTTCTTTTATCAGATAAGACTACTCAATGTCAAAGCCACATACATGTGATCTCTTATACTCTTAATTATCAGGTCAGTCCATAAGTTCGTGCGCATTTTTATCTACAAAAAAAGCAACAAAAAATTTTAATTAAATCTTATTTCAATCTATAATGTATTCACCATTATTTTGTACAATTTCTTGCCATCTTGATGGTAGCTTTTTAATCCCGTCTTTGTAAAATGATTTCGGTTTTGAATCAAAATATTCAGAAATAGCCTTTTTTACATTGTTCTCATCCTCAAAAGTTTTTCCTTTTAAAAAATTCTGCAAACTCCGAAAAAGATGATAATCACTGGGAGCAATATCTGGCAAATATGGTGGATGAGGTAAAATTTCCCAGTTGAAGCTTTGGAGTTGAGCAGTTGACGTTGTTGTCAGTTAGCTATTGACAGTTCATGTGGTATCCATTTTCCTAGCTTTGAAACTTTTCCGATTTGTTGTAGATGTCTATGAACAGTTCCATGGGATGAATTTAAACGTTCCGCAATTTCATCAACTGTTAAAGATGGTTCTGCTTCAACTAGTGCAGAGAGAGCATCATCATCAAAGTCAACGGGTCTTCCAGTACGAGCCTTATCCTCCACACTAAAATCATTATTTCTAAATCTTTCAAACCACTTCTGCGCAGTCCTTACACTAATTACAGTTTGATTATGAACAGTATTTAATTTTTTGGCTGCATTTGTAGCATTCTCATCACTTAAAAATAAAAAGTATAAAACATGTCTCTTATATTCATCTGTTACTTCCATTTTAACGAAAATAAACAACTGAAATGTTCCCAATTCTGAACAGTATTATATGAATGAGATCCAATTTAACACTTCAGTGTAAAAAGTATCACATTAGACTGGCATTTTTAACAGCAAAACAAGATTTTTCTCAAGGTCATAAAATAGGCACAAACTTATGGACTGACCTGATACATGTTTTTTTTTTCAGATGGTGTTTTTTAATTTTAAGTTGAAGATAAGCTTCATTTGGACTTAATTAAAATTATTTTATAACATTTTTTATTTCCATACTATATTTTATAATGTTTTGATGTTAATGTTCTTATCTTAATAATTATTTATTGTTTGTATTAATATTTTGATTTATTTTTGTTTGGATAATTTTGTTTATTTTCTTCACTAAGAAGTCTGTTATTTGTCTTCATTCCATTATCTATATGAATAAATAAATGTATATTCTCATCTCAAATAACTACTTTTAATAATATTTTTTTACAGTTAAAAGTAATATCGGCAGGAGCAACTAGCTGCACCTGTGAAATGTTGATATGTAAAGAACATGAAAATACAAACGGACTTCTTCATGGAGGTATGACAGCTTCGTTAGTGGACGTGGTTTCCACCCTCATATTGGCCTCTTCAGAGAAACAGGTTGCGGGAGCTAGTGTGAATATGAATATTTCGTAAGAATGTTGTTTCTTCATAAAATTGTGACAAATCCTCTCTATCTAATGTTTAAAAATATAATGCAGTACAAGTACTTTATACATACTATTATACAACATTAGTTAACATAGTAAACAGTTATCAGATAAGTCTGATATTTATATTTTAAATTTTTTATAAGTGGTTTAAAATTTGAAATTATAATTAAATCTATAATTGTAATAATATAAATGATGCATATTTATTTCTAATATTTTTAAAAGTAATAAATGCATTATATCTATAAAGTCCTTGTATGCTTTAAAATTTGAAAGGTAATAATATGATGATAAGATATTATTATTATTATGGTAATAATAATAATAACTCTCCCGTGGTCACCACCTGGTCGTGGTGGGAGAGCCCAGTAATTTTACTGATCCATAGGGCAATGCAGGCTGGAGCACAAGCTCCTGGTAGGGACACCCATGCCAGTAAGGTCTATGGGGAGAAATGAAGCTAAGAGTGACCACACACCCACATTCTGTGGAGAAATTTATGATGGTAGTAACCAGATC